ATTTTTAATGCCAATTTAATGCTTTTTAAAGCTTTTTAATGCCAATTTAATATTTTTAATGCCAATTTAATGCTTTTTAAAGCTTTTTAATGCCAATTTAATGCTTTTTAATGCTTTTTAATGCCAATTTAAATAAATTCAATGCTAATTTAATGCTTTTTAATGCCAATTTAATGCTTTTTATTGCTTTTTAATGCTTTTTAATGCCAATTTAATGCTTCTTTAATGCCAATTTAATGCTTTTTAATGCCAATTTAAATAAATTTAATGCCAATTTAAATAAATTTAATGCTAATTTAATGCTTTTTAATGCTAATTTAATGCTTTTTAATGCCAATTTAATGCTTTTTAATGCCAATTTAATGCTTTTTAATGCCAAGTTAATGCTTTTTAATGCCTTCAACAGTGACTGCTTAAACCATTTTAAAGCTCTTTTTGATGCCTTTGACATTAAACTCTTACACAACTTTTTGTTTGTTTTCCAGATTAAATCATGATTTACCTGCTTTTTCCAATTCAAAACGTATTTAAACAAGCATCACAGAACCAAAAATAAATAAATAAATAAATAAAAACAGGCCTGGAGCACCAGCGTCTCGTATATAAGTATTGGAACAACAAGCTGATTCTTTTAGACTCTTCAGCCTGAAAATGAAAATAAAACAAAATCACCTGGATTGAACTTCCAGAGGTCGTTGAAGTGTCGGTCCAGGCGGGCGTTGTAGCCTCCGAATATGTAGAGCTCCCCGTTGTAGGTGACTGAAAATACAAACAAATCGTTTCTATGGTGACATCTGCAGCGCAGTAAACAGATTACTTCACAACGAAAGCACCTGGAGTTTTTTGATAATGTAAGCAAAAGTTTATTTTTTTTACACTTATTACACAAACAAACCGCACACTGTGGAAGGAAACTGTGAAATCTAAAAATCACCCAAAGAAAAACTGAACCTTTCTGATGACATTTTCTAAAATAGATCATGTTTTGGTTAAAAAGGATTTTAGCCCAACTCTTCCAGGTCAACTGGTTTAAACACTGAGGCTGGTTTGAAAACAGCGTTGGAATTGTGCAAATTCAACAAGCTCAAAAACCAGATTCATATTCTAGATATTTATGAAAAATACCATCTATGATTCTAAAGGGAAAAATTAATCATTTCAGAATTTGTTCAATTTCAATGCCGTTTCCATGAAACTCTGTGTTTCCCCAATGAATTATCACTTTGGTTTACTTCCCGCATTTGTAACAATTATTAACAAAATGGTTCATTGAATAAATAAAACGTGGTCTGTGTAATTTTTTTGTTCATTGGTTTTTCTTTTTAAAAGCAGGTAATGAAAAACGGACTGTTATTCTGTGTTCGCTTTATACTCCAAAAACAGAAAAACGGTCTTTTGGTTTGAAGTTTAACACTACTGTCATTAGTTTGAATCATCAGTGATGCAAATGATCAGCTGAAACCTGTTACAGAAATGCTAAACTAGTCAGCTAACATGCTGCTGCCCGGGTGGCTCGTTATAAAGTACAACGTGTTTATTCATCCAGTTATCAGACCATTCAAGGTGGAGCAGATTAATTAAAGAAACTAGCTAAACGAGCAATATTAATTTAAAAAATACAGTTTGGAGTTAATTAAAGGAGACATATGATGCATTTAAATTCCTCAGCTGGGTCTATATAAAGAGGAACCGCAATGCTTTGGTCTGAATTCCTCCTTATTTTAACTCCACAAGCCCCGCCCCAGAAAAGGGGCGGGGCTTGTGGAGTTAAAATGAGAAAACTCAACAGGCTGAAAAATGTAACCCCAACAGATCATAAAGATTTCTCTGCAGCACCAAGAGAGACTAAATTTAACTTTTCTGCCTCCTAGAGACTCCCAAGTCCACAACAAGATGAATTTATTATTTTTAGTGTTTAAAATTTTTTGATTTTGCAGGATATATCCCCTTTAAATAAATAAAAAAAGTGGTTATTTATTTATTTATTTACAGGCCTGTTATTAAAATGTTATTTAAGAATTAGCTCCACCTTAAATGATCTGATAACGACAGTGTTAAACTTGAGTTTTTTTTCCAGTATCTGTTTATAAAATAAAAAACAAATGACCAAAAGGTGCAGGTATCAGCTGCAGCATTAGGCTTACAGTAAACTTATATATAATTTATATATTATAAACGTTGTGTGTTTCTGCRTCTCACAGGCTGAATGACTCCGCCGGCCTTCAGGCAGAGGCTGTGCTGAAGGGCTGCTCAGCCAGGAGTTGGTCTCCGTGTCGAACACTTTGATCTTGTTGCAGTAGATCTCGTTGTTGGAGTGGAAGGGTCCGAAGCGGTCCGCCCTCCCTCCGAACACGAACATCTTCGTCCCGATGATGGTGGCTGAGTGGAAGTCTCTCCATCGCGCCGGCGGGCCCTTTAGACAAGCAAACAAACAAACAAACAAAACATGCAGTGATGTCACTTTCACACTCAGAACCTCAGATTTTCATTAAACTATAATAATTCAAACTTAAAACTGATTAAAGTCTTCAAGGAATTCATGTTAAACTTTGTTTCTATTGAGGACTGAAACTGAC